GATGGGAAGGTCTGACCCAGACATTCAGTGTCTTTGGCTCCTTGGCTGGAAGTGAGTAGGCGTACCAGTTGCCATCAAGTTGACTCCAACTCATGGTGACCCAATGTGTGTGTCAGAGTAGAACTGTGCTCCACAGGGTTTTCAATGGCTGATTTTTTTTTTTAAAGTAGATCACCAGGCCTTTCTTTTGAGGCACTCTAGGTGGACTCAACCCTCTAACCTTTCAGTTACCAGCTGAATGCATTAACCATTTACACCATCCAAGGACTCGTTGTGTAGATGTAGCCCAGATGAAAAGTTGAGATTTGCTAAAAAGCACCTTCCACTTTACTTTCTAAGGTGAACACTTAATCCTGGACATGATACCTCAACCAGGGGGTGACACCATATAGCTTCTTAAAGTTTCCCAAGTAGAGTGGAAATCTAGGTCTATTCTCCAGGAAATTTCATACCTCTTCCTCCCTCCCCCCTCCTACTCAAACTGCTGTCCTAATATAGGATAACTGGGTCTCGGATTAGGAGATTGGAACCCTTCAGGAATTCAGCATCAAATTATGTTCCACAACAATCATTTTTTCATAACTTGTTTCTCACATAAATGTTTATCCTTTTATCATTTGCAAATCAGGAAAACTGAGATTTCATTTTATGAGATACAATTTCCAGTATTTATGGGGCCATCACTCTCATCCACGGTGTGCATTTCCTGCACTTTTATGATGTATTTCTAGTCGGTGATGGACTGCACATTGAGTTACAGCCTTGCTTTTCTATTCTGCTCTACTGAAGAAATATGTTAGCCCACTTTGTCATTTTGACTTCTTTTTATTATGTTTTCTCCCCAGCTCCTAATCCCTATGTCTTCTGCAGCAAATTCTAGCATTTTTACCAAAGTCAATCTTTAATGTTTGCTGCATTACTTTCTAAGGATGGTGCCATCCATCAGGATTTATATAAGATTGGAAATACTAACATATTTGGAATAAAGGAATTAAGTTAACACCCTGATTCTGCCACTTGTTAGCAGAATCTGCCATGTGACCTAACCTATCAATTTCCTATTCATAAAAATAATAATTCTACTTATTAATTTCTTTGTAAAGGCCAGACCCTCACTACCCTTTTCTCAGGTTATCTCATTGTTCATCGAAAGAGCAGTGTCTCCTTTGAAAAGTCTCTGTGAGGATTCAGTATGCTAACAGAAGACCAGGACGGTACCTGGCACATAGTAGGACCACAACCCAAGCTACATTAGCTTCTGAATCAGTTCTCTAGTTTACATTCTAAAGTATCTGACAAATAATCTTTTTCTTTTAGATTTTCATTTATCTTTCTTTTCGGCTAAATGTGGTCTCGAATGACTACAGATCGATGTAACTGACAGGGAAAAGCAGACATTGGTACCAGTCCAAACCAGCAGCCATCTTTACCTCTCCTGCCGAGCAGCCTGGGGGAAAAGCCTCAGAATCTCGGCATGGAGGGGCTCCACCTGTGCGGGGGTCTTCACCTTCATCTCCAGCAGGTAATCTTTACCAAACTTGCTTTTCAGGTGTTGGATGGAACCGATACATCTGGGGGCAGGAGGAGGAAGAGGCCATTGCAGAAAGGAGAACAACGCGTAGAATACAAGACTTGAGACCCGTGATTTGCCGCTAACACCACCTGCAGGTCCTCACTGTTAGCAGTAGCTTCCGCTGCCCACAATGACCTCTCCCTCTCCACAGAGAAACTCTCCTGGTCCTGCTCCCTGGGGCCCAAGGACAGCTCTGGGTGGGCACCCACCTGAGCCTCCCGGACACCAGGATGGCCACGCGGTCGCACACAGCCTCGGCCTCGGCCATGTAGTGGGTGGTCAGGAGGGCACCCCGGTCCGTGTTCCTGATGGTGGCCTGGATCGCCTGCCTAAATTTTCACGAGGATACTTGCAATTAAAGGAAGCCCTCTAATTAATCAAGAA